TAGCTATGTGTAAACGTATAGTTTTGCATGTATATCCCTGTTTCAGTCTGGTCTTTATATTGTCATAGAACTAGTGAAATCTAGTCGTTAATAACACTAAGCATTGCATTCATTAGTTACTGCCTGATACATAGGTACATTCTATTTCATCGACAGTTTGCAAATGCCACCCACACTCTTATTATTTGCTAAGTTGTCCACTTTCACTTAGATTCGCGTCTCTAAATCTGTTTTTGACCAATATTACATCTTTAGTTGTTCGTCTGGAATGACTATAAACTTTATGGTTTATAAGAGACGGCATTTAACGTAATCATTTAGGTAAACTATGAAGAAAGTTATGAAACTATGAAGACTATGAAGACTGGATCTGAAAATGTTTTTTTTTTAATGCAACTTAAAATGGTAAACAAGCTGATGGCCCTCTTGATGGAAAGTGGTGACTGTCATTTATAGACTATATATTATATATTAATTGATAAAGAAAATATAATAATATATAAATCTAAAATTTATATTGTTATTGTAATTTAAATCTATTCTTTTAAGTATTCTAATATTACGATTCATCACTGACTACTTTCTATTACCTTTTAAAATTAATAATAAAAATTTAGTACCCATTTATATTACACAGTCATATTTTATACCAGGTGATATCAATTTATCTCCTCAATTTCATATAGCCTTGCGTTATAACGGTAGTGTAAAACGGGAAACAGCGGTCACGGAACGGATGATGTCGTTTTTGTTATTTCGGCCTTATCACGAAACTGATTTCAAGGTTTTGCAAATGCATGTAGGAATTCTGGTTGTCTATTAGATGAAGAGACTAAAGTTACTGTTGTAGGTGTTTAAGAAGGTAATGGGAACACAGGTGTTAATAACGTCTGGCAACTTCACGCATAATTGTAATGTAATGTATATAAATTCCTCAGTAAAAAAAACCTTTGTATGATATTATTATACAATGATAATAAATCTTTATTAACAAATACAGAGTTGAACTGTTAATTTTTTTTACCCTAGCTTACAAATTAGGGTAACCTATGCCTTGTAAGCCAGTTCTTTCTAAGACACAAGAACTAATACTATGTATTTGATCATGCAGAATTGACAATATTAAGTTACAATATAAACATAGTAAACAGGATGAAGAATAAAGAAAAAAAAAAGTTTAACTAGAAGATTACAGTTAATAAAATTTTCAAACCTGTAACGTTCAATGAATACAAACAATAATGTCATATGTGTGAGATATAAATTAATAATATAATAACTTAATTTGGATTAATCTAAGCTAATGAGATATAATGAGAAATATTTAATGTTTTGTTTGTAATGGATAAACTAAAAAAATGCAGATATTACGAGTAAAAATATCTTTCACCAACTGCATTATCAGCAAGTAAAATGGACTTTATTTATAAATAAAAGTTAGGGATTTTCTACCTTTGTTATTTACGCGTGCGAAGTCAGAGCAGATCACTAGTGTTGTACATATTAGACGTTGTAGATTTGGATGTATATGAAGCATACTCTGTGCATTCATCCACAGTATTTTTTTTCACCAATGGAACTCTGTATCTAATCGTTAATGTAAAACTAGTGTCTCTTGAACGTCCAATTTTGGTAATATACAACATTCATATCCATTTGTGGTTTATATACCGTACGGTATTTGCAGCGGTATACAATTGCCGTTATTTTAACTGATGGTAATACAAGTACTATTTTTATAGTATTTTTTGCACATTTTGTACTTATCCGTTAGATTTTATTAAACTATAATAAGAGAAAAAGAGAAGACAAGAACAACTATTACACATTAAAAATATATTTTTTTAAATCGATTGATAAATCAATCGTAGTATTGCATAATTGTTACATCATTGTAACATCGAGTAACATTTTGTTAAAAAATTTTGGTAGTTTATAAGCTGTAAATGTTTAGAAAAAGCAATATTACCACTCACCTTGTAATGATTAATGTCATGATAATATTATTACAGATGAACAAAAGAGATCAATGAACCGTCGCGACGGAAGGTCAATTGTTAATATACTGTTTTAATATAAAAATTTCAATAGAAATTTACAATATTTTTAATTTTAAATTAACTATCAACATTAGTAACAACAGTGTAGTTTGAGTATTAGGTAACTAATTAATGAATAGAATGAAAAATAAAGAATAGGTATGTTTAAATAGAAATTTATGGTAAATAAGTATGTAAATTGACAATTTCATAGTCACATCTTGATTTATTTAAAAGTAAAGCAAAGAACTACCGTTTACAAGTTATCAAAACTGCTAAACATGATTTTACATTTATAATTTTTTTATTATCTCTAAATGTAAAATCGCAAATAGATATCCAGGACCTTTATGGCTCTTTATGACTATAGATAGATAGATAATTTATTTGCATTACTTACAGCACACAAATTACAACATATATAGATATACATAAAAAGCGAGATAACATAAATGATAAAAAAAAAACTATAAAGGATATTTATGATTATAAAGATTGACCAAATTTCAAATTAATTAAAAAAGTAATTAAATTTGTCTAAACTCAATAACTGGCGTAATTTTTTTTAGGTTGTGATACATAAAATATAGTTTTTTTTTTTTTATGAGAGCTTTTTATTTCTTTATTGTTTCTTTTCCTTTCCTTTTTTCCCAAGCACTTCATTCTTGTTTTTCATTTTGCTTGTATAAACAAGTTATTTTAAAATAGTGAATTAAATAATAATATGCCATCCTTTATAATTATAAAATATTAGTTTTTATTTTGTCTGCATTAACTAAATATATTGATTGACCAGGACAAAATATAGCCTAGGTATTTCCTTTCAAATTCAAATACTACGTATGTACATATCAAATTTCATGACAGAGGTAACAAAAAAACGAATAAACTTACTGTCACATTTATAATATTAATAAGGATTATTTTATTAAATAGGAAATTTATAATGAGTAAAAATATACGTGATATTAAAATAATATAAAAGAAAATTGTCATCATTTTTTATCTTTTGTAAGAGTTGTTAGATGCGGATAGCTTTAAATACTACATCCGTATGATTAATAGATACGTCAAATAATTCGAGTCAAAGTCAAATATTATCATCCGTGCATATCGATAGCCTTGTCACTATATATCACTATGTAAGTAATGTGATAAAAACGGAATTATTGAACATTTGAACTATGTATTCTTTTGCGTCATATGTTTCTCGGTATGAGATGACCAACGCGAGTATTTGACTAGTATGATTTTTATATTTACATATAAGTCGATTTTCCTTATGTACATAAGTACATACACGTATATTAGGAGAAACTGTCTGTTTAAAATATGAATGCAAACTCATGCATTTGAATTTTAACTGTTTTGTTCATACTGTTGTTTGTCACTGTATTATACACACATTAGCTGTTAAAAAATATAGCGATTACTGTTTTTTCTTTTTATTTTATGTTAAATTTTCAATGTGTTGTATCAACAAAATTGTGTTAAAATAGGTTTGTAAAAGGTTTAAGTTTTTATAAATAAGGAAAGCGACTTATTGATTGATTTATTCTGAATGTTTTACTGTAGATTTGAGATATGAATTACATAATACTAGAGATTATATATTTTACTATTGTAAAAATATATTGTTTCTTGCAATACAAATAGATATAGGGCACATACAAGCGATGTTGCATATTTAATATACACGAGGAATTACAGTATATGCTGTAACATCCATGGTGCTGATTATGTTTATATGCGATGGTCACCAGTTTTCATTAGGTGGGCCAGTAGCTTGTTTGCCAGTCTAAGTATAACAAAAATACTCGTATATTGGTACATTTTGCATAAACTGTTAAAGAAATTCGATCTGATAATAAGATCTTGGGCTTAGTAGATCAGGATTCAGGATATACGCCAATTGCTACAAATTTACGTGTTTTTAGCTTAAAAAGGATGTAATAATATCAAGTCATATTCACATTCGTACTTGTAAGACTATCTGTCGTATGTTACATAAGTAATTAAAATACGCACAAAATTTACATATAATGATAATGATAATGCATGAATTATTGGTTTACAATTTATATAAAAATTGAGACTGTTTGAGAGATACTTCTGTTACAGAGAAATTTTGTTTCTTTTGTAAATTGTGAAGTACAATTAATTTAAATAGAAAATATAATAAATAGTAGCACATTATGTAAAGATACTGGCAGCTGTTTTCTAAAATTAAATATGTGTTTTATATACACGAACGTGACGTATTATTTTGCTGTACAAAAACAGTGGCCGAAAGCGTTACCAACATATTGGTAACCGCTATCGACTGTAGAAGAATTACCAGAATCGATTCAGAATTGGCAAAGATATTACATGAAATGTTATTAATATTATAAGGTAAATTTCTAAAGTTTGTAATAAATATGGATGGATGAATAGATAAATGGATATTTGTTACTCTTTCACCAAAACTATTGAACAGATTAGAATGAAATTTGGTACACGGGTAGGTTATATCCTAATTTATCATATATAATACTTTATGTACTTATTAATTTACGCGTGCGAAGCCACGGGAGATAGCTGGTTCAAAATACAAGCCTATTGGAAACCCTCTTCTTTTTAAAGTCATTTAAAAAGAGATAGATGATCTGAGGTCTCACCATACCTTTACCTGCGCAATTTAATAATAGCTTGATACGTGCCTCGGAACAGCTGTTCGAGTATAAATTATTGTTCGACCGTTATTGAATACTTGATTCCATCTCTTTGATCCGATTTCTTTGTGTATCATTCGAGCGAATAATTTTTATTCACTGTCGATGGCTGTTAATATTTTATACAATATATAGCTATACTCGTATTATTTTTATATAAAAGTGTTCTTACTAAAAGTAGTAGATTTTTACATTTAATTATTATATTTATAATAATTATTATAATATTAAAATATTTCTTTTACAGAAGTGCAAGATATGGAATGTCGCAACTGATCACAACTTTTGTATTTAGGTATGTATTTTGTTTTAATTAATTTATTATTTTTACTATGTACACACTTAATATAACACTATATTAGTAACATATATAGATATAGAGTGTCCATGTCGAATTATTTACTACCTTCTCTACAGAGAGATAAATTGTAATTTCTAATTTGGAACTATATATTTTATGTACCGATTTAAGGTTATGATTTCAATGATGGGAAACATTCTCAATAAATACAAAAGTGATGGGGGTAGTATGATAAGGTATATCATCACAGCTATAACAGTATATTCAAATTCTCGCCAAAATGTGGACATGTCTAGGGTAAATTGTTCTTTCACCACAAGGGTGTCGAAACAGTCGAAAAATGACTTCCATTAGTGGTGATCATATATAATTTTTGATTTGCTACAACTTCACGATTAAATAAAATACCTATGAATTGAGGGACTTTTTAAAATTTAAAAAGATCTTTTGATCCACTAGACTAACAATTTAATAATGGGTTGCAAAACTAATGTCACATGTTACATCTTTACGGAAATAGGTTATTTGTACTTCATTAATTCCTGTTTTTTTTTTATTTACTCAGTAATATTGGCGTGTAATTGCAGAATCATGTTTTGTTTTGTTTAATAAGCTTGAATACGAGTAATTATTCTTTATAGTATGCGACTGTAATTATACTTTGAACCATCGATAACTCATTAGTTTATAGAGTTTCTAGTCTTATTTGTTCTTATAATTATTATGTTTTCTAGATATTGAAGTTATTAAAAAACAGCAAGAACTTAAATAACACATTATTCAAACAAATAATGATTACTAGTAAATTTTGTAGCTCATTAATTTAATATTTTATATCAATAGACATACTAGACGTTGTACTTGTCGCCGTGTGTGCCCCGGCATAGAATGGGTCACCCCTTTCTTTACCGTAGGGTTTTGTTAGAAGCGATTAAGGAAGAGCAAGGAATGGGCAACAGCGTCTCTCTTATAACAACTCTAAAAGCCTAATTGCGGTTGCTAAACCGCCTGCCAAGCATGGCAACTACTGACAAAACTCTTTTGGGGAAGGATTATGTCCAACAGTGGATTGTTAACAGCTGAAATAATAATAGATGTATTATTGGTCTCGGTGTTTCTATGTATAATAAGTGTGTTTATAAAAAAAAAGTATTTAAGTTTAAGTCTATTAATTATATATTTCACAGTACAAGCTCTAATTGGTTTGGAACTAGATGATGCTGTTTGAGATTTCCAGTTTTTTTAATATTACAAGTTTTTAATGACAATGATATTTCTGTACTCCGAACTGGTTGTGACCATAGTGTAATATAGTTGAAACGTCGATTTTTATTTTATTGACAACTAGCTTATTTCCCGCTACTTCGTATGCATTGAGTAAGAAAATAATTGAATCTTCTAGATGGCGTATCAAGACAAATATATACCAGTTTTTAAGTTATAACCTACACAACTGCGAAGACCGTATCAAATTTGGTGCAATGGTTTTTGCGTGATACTGGAACAAACATAAAGAACGACAAACAGTCATTTAACATTTCTAGAAATTATTGTTTTGGCTTCTACGTTCTTATTAAGACCTTATTAAGATTCTTATTAAGATATCGCTTTTTCTTAAATATCTTCCATGTTTTGACATTGTCTAGTTCCAGTTATATTTATACACGTGATAGTGAGATTAAATAATTCGCGTTGAAAGTAAAAAATCCATATTAATAATGTTTATTAAAATTAGTTGTCAGTCGGTTCATGGATCCAATAGAGACAATTGAGTTTAATTAAAGTGTTTTAGTCATCGATTCTCAATTAACTGTTACAATGTTTTGTTACAATTGAAGTTAATACAAAATTGAAGCCTATCAATAACGACTGGGTTAACAAATTAACGATGTCAAGTATGGTAGGAATTTTAAACATGTGGTGTTTGAGTAAAAATGCTATAAAATAAATAATTCTACTAATAGAATCCAAATGGAATACTTTTAAATTATCTTTATTGACAAAACTTGTACAGTAATTAAATTGTCTTTTCCGAGCTAGGTAATCTGTAATTGCCGAGTTAGGTAAAACCTGTTTCAGATATAGATTACAATTTGTCAGGTAATTAAGCAACTGTATATTGATTAATTATCTAGAATGGGTACAATGTAACAAAACAATTCGAAGAATAATGGCGAGGGGAAGTAATATTGTTCTAGGGGGATAAAATTTTTGCCTAATGGAATCGAAAATTAGGTGAGAATCTCTTCCTCTAATAGTAAAACTTTAATACTCTATATATATATATAATCTTTAATGAACTAATTGAAGGATTGATACGCGAATAGGTCATTCAATTCTTATTTAAGAGCTAGGGTCTTGTCGGTGGAATTCTTGGCTTTTACTACGATTTTCAGTGAGTGTCTTCAAAAGGTGAAAACACCCGCGAATGGGTCATATAAGCCATAACCTAGACATACTAATTCTTGATAATACCTTTAATATTAATTGTGTTATCTCTTAGTGCCATATCATTAAATTTGAAAGAGCCTACTTTTTTGGACTAATCAATCTATAGTGTATGTCCCGAAGCCCAATTAAATAGATGTAGTTTTTATAATTTCATTAATGTGGTTTTAATATTTTAACTCGTATATATGTTAATTGAAATGCATGAGCTCTTTTTGTAAATGAAGGTTTTTATGTTAAAAGGATTAAATGACGATTACTTAACACAAAAATTTTACACCGGTATCGGCAAATTGTAATAGTGGTGTTAAATTCTTGCTTTATTTGCATTAACAGTAGAGCTACGCGTTTCATTTATTAAAACATTGGCAGTTCTGTTTCTTGATTTGCATTTAATAATTAAATGTTATAAAATTGAATTAGTTTCCTCTACATATAGTATATATTACTGAATAGAGTAGTCCAATTGTCTCAATATTATCTAAATACAAAACTATTTTATAACTAACGTAACGCTGGAACAAAATTTGTTACATCATCTGGAAATTAAAAGGTAGGTTAGTAGAATTATAAATTAGGTAAGTATTTTAGTTCTATTGTAAAGTACAGATAATAAATGTTTACGTAAATCATCTTTTGGCCTGTTATAACGTAAACTATGCAGCGAACGAATATAAAATATTTTTTTATAACATCAGCACTAGAGATAATGGAAGAATAAAAAGAAAATTAAAAATTAAAACGTCCAGGTATTATAAATTTACGCTACTTCTAGATCATTCTATATCTAAATAGTATTAAATAATATTCTAAATCGTTGTCAGCCAAGTAACTAGATTTTTTTTTTAAATTCTGTTGATTTTTTTATATAATTTAGTAATTACTAATTTTGTTATGTAATAATATACTTCTTCGTATTGTATACAAATTAATATACAACCTATTAATCAAATTATCGGTCACTTTCAATGTTTCTGTCAACTAATAAATATTTCAAGTCTACTTTCAGATACCGATCAGTGATCGTCGAAGACAAGCATGACTATAAATCATGATGCTTAGTCTATTACATTCTTTTGAATACAAACACATTACAATATCCTCAATACTAATATCATTTATTTATTTTTTCAATTTAACTTTGCAATATATATTTTTCGTACTTACTGAGTATAACTGTATATTGTTGTTACATTAAAAGAGTGTTATTATATTATATTTAAAGTTAATATATAATTTTATTAACATTTTATATATGATCATTATAATATACTTAAATTTAATTAATTAAAATCTTTGTAACAATTAATTTAAATTTAGTGATAATTTGCCACAACATTTTATTAAATAGTGAGAATTTATTAAATTTATTCCCCGCTCTACATGGTTTACAAAATAATTAAAAGAAAATGTAAAAACCTTATTTCCAATATTGTTCCTAGCTATTTTTTTTTTATAATTCATTACATGTTCTGTGTGTGTATGACAATTCTAGTGTATATGTATAATTTTATCTATGACTCTTCTAAGATAAGGCAAGCACCTATTGTTAATGCTGGAGATTGTTGGCATTTGATGGAATTTGGAATTAATTAATGATTGAATAAGTGAATTTTTTATTATTGTTTCCTTCAAATAATGATACAGATTATAAAGATTGACAATATTTACACAAATAAAATGAATAATTAATTACATAAAATCATAAAATCAAGATAAAGAGGCAACAATGGGCGGCCCATTGATAGTCAATATTCATACACTTTACAAGTGTTCTTATTTCAAATGGGAATAACATACATCACTTTATAGTAATATAGATAAATAATACATTGGACATATTACACAGCATTTTGTTAATACTATATTATAAAAGATATCAATGTCACAATAATAATGTAGTGTAAAATACATTGACATTGAAATTTCTTCACATTCATTGAACAATTATCTAGCCGATTATGAAACCGCAACTATAAGATAAGCATTGAGCAAAAAAACCTTGTATTTTTTATCTATCTTTACCTCTGATAATATTTGCTTAAGTGCGAAATTTTAAATTCAACTGAATAATTATGTATTATCAATTATACGAGTAAGTAATAGTAATATAAGACAAGGGAAACTTTGTACAAAAGTCGTCAGCTTGGGTACCTTTGTTCCATTAGTGTTTCTACCGTGAAGCAGTTCTGTTTGCATGGTTGTGTTTCGGTTTCAATGGTGGGATATGACAATGAAATTACAGGATGCAGAAGCATAACGGCTTAGTCGTAAAGCATGAAGGATATCATGGGCGACACAGTAAACTCGGTTATGTTCATGGTACTGTTCATGTCTGTAGGAAACTGTTACTACTTTCCATCAGGTGGGCCGTCAGCTTGTTTGCATTTCTAAGTTACAAAAAAAATTATATTGTATATAAACCGGCTGTTTTTGATTCTTGTTATAGTACCGTATATACGTAGGTATAATATTGTGGAAAAGTTTTGTACCAAATATTATGTTGTATATAAGAGTTTTTTTTTGTCGATTATATAATTTACTTA